AATGGAATTTTTGCAAAAAAATTGTATAATAAAAATTACAAAAACAAAATACAATTTTAGTTATGTAAAGAACAGTTTGATTATTTGTTAAAGAAATATAAATCAGAATTTAATTAAGTTAAAAAATTAATGGTCAATTTTTTTTCCTTGTTTTTTTCCGAACAAAATTGACAAAATTGCTTGTTTGATGGAAGGCAAAAAATTTTTGTTAACAAATATTATAAAAATTGCTGTTCCCACACATATAGCAAAGTAATTTTAAAAAAATTTTGACATTTCAAATAGCGTGCTAATATAGAATGTGCAGGAAGCAAAAAAATCTCAAAGTTCTTTTTTTCAACAATTTATTGAAATATTTCATTTTATTATCATAGTTTAATGAAAGAAAATATAACATACCTGAGCTTCAGCGCCATTTCTACCACAATTTCAGGGTTATGTATACTTATAGTATACTTCAGTAATAAATACCCTCGTAAAATTCAACCATTGATAATCAAGAGTAAAGGTCAAAGAGGAAAGAAATTCAGCGAAAAGAAAGGAAGTTGAAATCAGAATGAGACCAAGAAAGAAATGAGAAAACCGAGATGCAGAATTACGTTATTCTTTAATTTAAACTTACACAATTAGAAAAAATTTAGGTAAACAGAAAAGTAAAAGTATGCCAAAAGTATTGCGGGTATTACCTTAGTGTTGAGAAACAGGTGGATATCAACTAACGCTTCTTGTAAAGCGTCAAAAATACGATATTGCCGAATGTATTGTTGTTATATGATTAACAGTAATTCACCAAACAATTTTATTCCAAGTTATATTCAAAAGTATATATTTCAAAATATTTTGTTTTTTCTCATCATGTCTTGTTCTAAGTCTAGTACATATATTTTATTTAGATCATGGACATTATTATTATAAATAATGTATTGCAATTAATTATTTTACAGTTCAATATTTTCAAACATTAACTATTCATTAACAATATCTTTTCTTATGATTGAATAAAAATTTCGCTCTCAGGAAGCGATTCAAAATCTCTGTAAAATAATATAAATTATGGAATTATCATATTATTAAAAGCATTAATTATCACACTATCATCGGATATATTCTGCAGTGCATATTCATTCGGCGTTACTACATTTGGTACCACCTGGAATGCCGTTATAAATGCGTTGTATGGAATGGTCGACAAGCCAATTCCATTAAGTTTCTGGAAATTTTAAAATGAAAAATTGCAATAATTTACAGCTTTTTTTTTAAAAAAAAATAAAAAAGACAAATATTTCTGAAACTTACTCCATTACCGACCAAATTACCATTAAATGAATTAATCACAAATTTGCTGTAAATACAGTGAGAAATAATCAATATTCTGAAAAAGAAATTTAAAAAAAAAAAATGTACTCAAATAAAAATTTCGAAATGGCCACACTATACCATTTATTAAAAATCGAAATTTTACTAATTAATTTTACCGAAAATAGCGTGATTTTTGATTTATAAAATGTTAAATTTATAAAATGTTATGCATATGACCAAAGAAAGAAACTGTCCTTTTAAGACAGTTTCATTCTTTGGTCATATGCATATGCTAAAGGATTGCAATGCCGATTTTCCATTCTTAATTTCAAATTATATCTGCTTTAGTTTCTTTTCGCTCTCGAATAATTGATCAAAAATGAGATTGAATTGATGAGAAAAAAAGAAGTGAGTAATAATTTGACATAACAGAAAGAAAAAAAAATTTACAAAACCACTGGCAAATAGAAGCTCATGTCGATATAACTTTCCAGAAAATTCCGTCTAATCTGAAATATGAAATTTTCACGTTTAAAATTTGGGGGATTAAATATACAAATCGTGCAAATTACGATGATTTATTCGAAAACGTATCTTTTTTCCACTGATCATTCTGCTTTTCAGATCATATTTTGAATAGATATATATAAAATTTGTTAAGTTAGCAGAATTTCAAAAATTCAGCCATAATTTTATCAAATTTTTATGCTGAAGCAATAAACACAGTTAAGCAACATTCTTAAACTGGTAAATTAAGATTGCACAAAATAAAAAATCGGAATAAATCAATCAATAGCATCACTTCCAGCTATTACATTGTGCAAACATTTTTATAAACGTAAATATCATCGAATCATTATTTCTCATAATGATTTTGAATTGAAAAAAGTTGAAAAGTTGTTCTTGTTTACAGTTTAACAAATGTTACTGCAAAATGATAACAACGAACAATTTTGATTTTGTTGAACGAATTTTTTTGTAATTTTTTTACTCAACTAAAAATCAGACCAGATTTGAGCTCATATTACATGCAAAATATAATTTTATCATTTTTTTTTTTCCCCTCAAATTCGTCAAATCAATTTTTTTGGTAAATTTTAATAATTGCCCTATCATATCAAAGAAATGATGGGAAACAATAATTTTAGCGAAAATTTTGTTACAAAAATTTAGGACAGTTCTTTGACTTCTCTTTTTCTTGTAACTATTTTTAATGTAGTTAATTAATGAATGAAAAAAAATAACAGTTTCTCATTCTACAAATTGTATTTCTTAAATATTGTCAATTATTCCCATGTCCTCATCTAACCAATGAATAAAATCCCTTTTTTAGTGTGCAATTTTTTCGATGAATCAAATGAATTCTATCTTAACGTCACTAAAATTCAATAGAATACCTGAACACTTTCAAAAAGGTGAATAATAAACAAGTTTTAGATTTTAGTTTTAAAAATTTAAGACGTAAACGGTAATATATGAGTAAAATTACTCGTTAAAAAAGCGATGGTAATGGCACTTTATTGTTTACCGTAACATTTGCGAGGAAAAAAAATAGAATGAATGAAATATTGCGAAAATAATAAGAAAAAAGAAGCCACAAAAATATTTCATGACTCATTTTGACAGTTTGTTAAATTAACATCAAATGTTATTGCAAACAAGACAGAGCAATAAATTTTTTTTTTTTTAAATTTCCATTAACAGACCGAAAAAATACAGATCAATAATTCTTCATTCAAATTTTCATTCCAATTTATTACCACATGTGACATTTGTCAAATATGTAAATATGAGCAATATCATTCGAGAAAACAAATATTATCAGTATTAATTTCAAATATAAATTAACTGTTTCCTTTAACAGTTAAGAAAAAAAAAGTCAGTTAAGAAATAAAATGAAATCAGCTGAAAAATTTCAATCATCAAATGAGGAAAAATTTTCAGAATTGTAAAAATAGGAAAAATGAAATGTCAAAAATGTTTAAATGATTGTATAACTGCCCCAACTGTACATGTATGCTGGGTTTCGATTGTTGTATCTTTCATTAAGAAATGCGGGCCCAAAATTCCTTCTATTCTCGAAATAATCTTCATAATCATCAAATCGTCTACGACCACCGTTACGTCTACGACCACCGTTACGTCCACGACCATCATTTCGTCTACCACCACCACGTCTATCAACAAACGGTAAATGTCCACCATAATTAAGCAAATATGCTAAATATCCACCTTCTTCCCCAGTAATAGGTGGTGCTATACCGGTATTACGATTAGGAGTTGGTTGTAAATATCCGGTACCGGCACCGGCACCATTATTATATGGTAATGGTAAACCATAAGGTGGTCTAATATAATATGGTAAATATTTTGTGTAATCAAAGGTGATTGTTGCTACTGCTGTTGTTGTTGTTGTTGTTCGTGTTGTGGTACTTTGTGTTGGATTAGGATCGATAGGTTGGTTAATGCCTTGATTAGCGTTGTTGTTTAATGACTGAAACAAAAGAAAATAGATGAATATAAAAAGTTTTCGAAAAAAATCACTTTTATATTTGAAAAGTTTAGCAAGACGGATTTGACTTTAATATTGATAGTGTTTTTGAATTGATAACAATGAATTTCGATGTTGTATCAAAACAATAAAATGTAAATTTGTTAGTTCTGCTTTAACACATTAACAAAATTAAATGAAATGATTGTTTAAAAAATTAATTTTAAAACTAACATTATCTCCAGCGATGTTACCATTGAATGAATTGAGTACCATACCACTGGCTGATATGAT